ACAAAATTGAACGCAAAAGCATTGGCTGTATTTTGAATTCGGCTCACAGATCTCACCACATTACGTGAACATCCCAATTAAATGTAAGCAGCGTCCCGAGTAAGACGATAAACTACATCCGGTAGCAAGGCCTCTGATCGGGAGGTTTTGAGGTGCGTGGAAGCACATTTTAATTGCTGTTGTTCCCAGGTCCCTCCTGACCTGGGGTTGTAGGTTCCCAACTATGGTCAAATAGTTAACGCCCTAAACTGGAGTCAAAACATTATGACAGTATAAAAATACATTTTTTATCGTAAAAATACAAGCAATACATTTTCATAAAGAAAAAAAAATTACCAGCAATATATTAAAAAAATTACCAACAATATATTATTTCGGCATTAAATGACCCATAAGGAGTTGATATGTCACTAAACAAACAGAAATATAAGTATAGCGTACAGCACCTGGTATTCCCAAGCGATCACCCATGAAAGTACTGACCGTTCTCTGATGAGAACCTGAGTATTCAACATATGGTTGTAAGCTTCCTGGGGGAAAAGTCAGAATGGATTGCATTAGTAAAATTACTGTTGAGTCTGAAGGAAAATAATCATAAAACGAAAACTGTTTATTAAATGTAAAATAAAACGAGATATTTTGAACGGATATATTATGAGTTTTCATAACGTTTAAAATCTCGCGAAACTTGAGAAAATCATGAGATTTAAGGTAAATTTGCGAAAATCAGAAACTGGGTTAATCTATCTGCTTTAGCTAGTGTCATCTTTCCGGAAGAAATATATCGTTATGGCTTGGAACGAGGAAATCAGATGCTTCTTGAACATCAGTGCAACAAAACCTCGAACGCAAGAAAGAAATACATAGAATTTCTGATGTCTTTCTGCAGATGATCGGATCTGGTTGAATTGTTTTGATTTCATCTAGAACATTAATTTCGTACAAATGCCCTAGGAATAACAACACCAAATTTCTCTTAAGTGTTTTCTCTTCCTGGTATCAATAGATAACATCAGAAGACGTAGGAAAAAAAACGTAAATAATGAAATAATAATTTCTAGTATACAGTTTTTTACGTTATATCGATTTTAAAATTTTATTAATACACACATTTTGTCCGCACACACATAAATTCATGTTAAAACATGAAAGAATCTCTCGCAAATATTCTTGAAGATCATAATGCAATTATCCACTTTTTTAACCGATATCACCCCATGCAAGGCAGTAAAGCCACTAAGACATAGGGTGTAGAAGAATTAGGAACAGAAACATGAATAATGAGCAGGAAGAGGAGGACAGTCTATAGCAACTGATATTGTATTTAAATTCTTCCGAACTAAAGAGCAGTAATCAAGAGGACAGTCTATAGCAACTGATATTGTATTTAAATTCTTCCGGACAAAAGTTGGCCTGAAAGCATGGAGTCGGAAGGGAGTTCCACAAGCGATAAGTGAGAGAAAATAAACTGTTAGCATAGAATTTACGGTTACATCTAACCAGCTCAACTGTAAATTTGAGATCACAAGGCCAGTCTAGTACTGCACTTAAATTCAAAAAGTCTAGGTACTACAGAGAAGAGCTCACCCGAACAATTACCACGAAAATATTTTTTAGAAAAGACACAGAAGCAATCTTATGGCGGTGGGAAAAGTGACTGAAGCTGAGCCACCAGATCAGGACCAATAATATTGCAGAATCTTCTTTGGATTTTATCAAGGAGCTCAAGGTAAATAGCAGTAAATATACAACTATTCCAAGGCGTCCACTAGGTGGCGGTGTTTCAGGATTATAAAAGAACGGACATAATCCTTTTTACTCTGAAATGTAGCAGCGTTAACACGAGCCTCCTTTCCCTCGGGTGCCAGACGACTAAAATTTAACCCGTATACACACGTCAATCACTCATTAACACGTTTACTAATAGCAGCTGTATTTTCTCTCTTTGTATTATTCTTTATATAAAAATGTTAAATTCCTCTATGTATTGCTTTTAAAAATATTGAATTCGAAGGTTCTTGACTTCATCCGTCCTGGGTAAGACGATAAACTACGTACAACAGCAAGGCCTCTGATAAGGTTTTGAGGAGCGTGGAACCACCTCTTAATTGCTGGTGTTCCCAGGTCCACCCTGACCCGTGGTGGTAGCACCTGTTAGGGTCCAAGCTATGGGCAAATAGTTAACCCACAGACTGGGGTCAAAACACTATGAAAGTGTAAAAATAGGTTTTAATACCAGAAATACTTTTAAAAAAATATTACCAGTAATACATTTTTGGAAAAAAATATTACCAGTTATAAAAATCTTGTCGGCATTAAATAACCCATTGAGGTTGATATGCCGTAAAACAAAACAAGCCAAACTAATCTTGACCTCGTTCTGATACAAACCTGTAGACGCTCATTCCTCTGCGTTCTCACAAAATAATGTTCTCTATCTTAAAGCTGTAAGGAAGTAATCAAAATATAAATTTTCATTCTGGACAATTAGAAGTTAGCACAAAAAGAACATTTATTTTCCAGTCGATCAACGGTCGATACAACGGAATTAAGCTGGGATAGTCTGCAATTTAAAAGCATGTTCACAACTCCAATTAGACGTTCGGTTCTTACAGACGACCAATCACAACGCAAAGCCCATTCATGTCCTTTTATTTACAAGTTCCTCCATCCGACTCAATAACGTTTACGTAAGAGCTCTGATCTATAGTTGAAGCCCCGCACAAACTCTAACAACATGCCTACTCATATTCGTCAGAACAATCGCTATCATAGCGACATAGCTGAAAGCAGACGACAACTGTTATTTTGAGTGTAAGTAAATTCATATAAGTCGGTTATAAACAATAAACCAATTGTGATTGTTAAAACTCGGTCTCCCCTTCTTGTCGACTAATAACATGCAAAATTATTGATCCCAGTTCAAAAAGGTCGTTATTATCTAAGAAGCAAGGATTTATGATTGATTTTTTTTTTTTTTGCATTGTCTACTCAAACAATATTTTTCTATGTTTTCTTTATTTGTGTGATGGACATAGGCGATCGTGACTCTCCAAAACTTCCTCTCACTTACGGCTCTTAGTATTTTTCTCTTTTTGCAAAGGTTCCTGCCCCGCGAACCGCCATCCATTCACACAAGCTCGTCAGGCTTGCTACCTTACCCTATCTCTCTTGCTCTCATTATGCCCTGTGAGAGTTCAGTTTTCCAAGCACTCTTTACTCGTTATGTGTCTAAGAAATTTCAGCTGTCTCTTCCTCATTTTGAATATGTGTTCTTGTTATTGTCATTTTCTTTAAGACTTCCTTGATGCTTATTCGATGGAATCTGTTAAGGAGTGGTTCCTTGGGTCACCCTTCGAATTAAAAAAAAATGAGAGAAGATTGTTGCGTGTTCAAATAAAATTATATTTATTTAAACGGGGGATACACAAATTATAACTTTAATTATTTAAAAGTCAGAAAGTTCTTCTCTTTGACCGTAAGGAAACGAACGTGAATAGTCTTTCAGTGGTGGTAGGCCTCCGTCGGTCAGGATTGACCATGGGTAGCATCCTAGTTGTCTACTTAGCTGGAGCATCGACGTCTGTGACTGTAGAGACCAATGCGGGAGTGACAAACTCTGTTGCAGAGGTTGCATGTGTGTTCTGTCTTTAGTCTGTTGGTGCTGTCACTTTGCTTTCTGAGAGCCCACCTTTCCGTGGCGACTTGTGTCATCCTTTCCTCCCCTGACTTGAGGTGTTTGGTCAGGGTTCCTCTCCATTTGGATCGTGTGGCTGCCAGACTCTCCCAGGACTCTGTGTTGATGTCTATAGCTTTTGTGTCGCGCCTCACAACATCGCGGTACCGCAGCTGTGGCCGCCCGGCGGGTCTCCTTCCAGAGGCTAGTTCTCCATACAAGAGGTCTTTAGAGATGCGGTCATCTTTCAGTGAGGAAGAAGGAAATTAAAGTTAGGAGACAAGATTAAATTGAGTTCGCTGTTGCTTTGATGAGACAGGCAAGACGTTGACTCGTGTCTGTCTACTTTTGTCAGGCCTTCTGCCGAGTTGAATGAATGTTTAATTTTTATGGTATCGTGTCGGCTCCAGAGGCCTGTGTTTATTTTACTCGTGGAGCTGATTTTATTGACTGTTTATTTTTATTAAATTGAAAACTTAAAGTATGTTTGAAACACGGAAGGTTGCGCGGAGCCCTTGCTCAGTGTGTTTAATTTTTTCATTTGCTCCTTTTGATTTGATGTTGTCCACTTTCGCCTACTCTACAAATCCCTCTGTAGAACCACATTTCTGTTGCCTCCAGTTTTCTCTTCATCTAGCATTGTCTAGCATTCACTGCTATGTAAGAGAATGGAGCAATACAGCACTCTTTAATGAAACTATTTACATTGTTCGAACTGTTGTTCTCATCTTTATTGCCATATTCACGACGTTTCGGCCGTTGTACGCTCCGACCTTCTTCAGGTTGTATACGATGGAATTTGAACCGAAGTCTTTTAGTCCACGGGGGTAGATTGTTCTAATGTCACATGCCATGACATTTTGGGAAGCGGGGTATATCTCAGTTTCAGTTAATTTCCTCCAGGTTTTTGTTCCCTCTAATGTGGCCAGGTGTTGAACTTACAATTCATTGGGTCAAGTCACTTTTTGGATTATTGAACCAACGCTTTTATCCACTGGGCCATGTGCGTAAATAATCATTTTTTTTAAAAATCCTGTTCATTTTATTGCCCTTTCACCTAAATACCATTTTCTCAGATTTTTTTTTTTCAATCTCAGTAACACCTTCTGTCTTAGTGATTTTATTACCTTGTTTGGTGTGAAATGTTTAACAAAAAACAAAAGCAAAAATATATTACTTTGGTAACGTCATCTATCGGTTCTTTGACAGACAAATAAAATAATCTCACGCCAATAAATATAATCCGCGAAACGTTTCACTAAAACTCGACAGAGCTCTAGGACATTTTCATCGATATCATTTTAGAAACAATTGCGTGGCGTTGATGATTAATTTACTCTCTTCTTCTTTCTTCTTTCTTTCTTTCTTCTTCTTTCTTCTTTCTTTCTTTCTTTCTTCTTCTTTCTTCTTTTTTCTTTCTTATTCTTTCTTCTTTCTTTCTTCTTTCTTATTTTTTCTTTCTTATTCTTTCTTCTTTCTTTCTTCTTCTTCTTCTTTATTCTTTCTTTCTTATTCTTTCTTCTTTCTTTCTTATTCTTCTTTCTTATTTTTCTTTCTTTCTTATTCTTCTTTCTTCTTTCTTTCTTCTTCTTTCTTCTTTCTTTCTTTATTCTTTCTTTATTCTTTATTCTTTCTTCTTTCTTCTTCTTCTTTCTTCTTCTTCTTTCTTTTTCTTCTTTCTTTCTTCTTTCTTTCTTCTTCTTTCTTTTTCTTCTTTCTTCTTTCTTTCTTCTTCTTCATTCTTTCTTCTTCTTTCTTCTTCTTTCTTCTTTCTTCTTCTTTCTTCTTCTTTATTCTTCTTTATTCTTTCTTCTTCTTTCTTCTTTATTCTTCTTTATTCTTTTTTCTTTATTCTTTCTTTCTTCTTTCTTCTGCTTCTTTATCCCTTCTTTTTTCTTTCTTCTTCTTTATTCTTTCTTCTTCTTTATTCTTTCTTCTTCTTTATTCTTTCTTCTTCTTTATTCTTTCTTCTTCTTTATTCTTTCTTCTTTCTTATTCTTTCTTCTTCTTTCTTTCTTCTTCTTTCTTTCTTCTTTATTCTTTCTTCTTCTTTCTTTCTTCTTCTTTCTTTATTCTTCTTTCTTTCTTCTTTCTTTATTCTTCTTTCTTCTTTTTTCTTTTCTTTCTTTTATTCTTCTTCTTTCTTTTCTTCTTTCTTTCTTCTTTCTTTCTTCTTCTTTCTTTATTCTTTCTTTCTTCTTTCTTCTTTTCTTTCTTTCTTTATTCTTTCTTCTTTCTTCTTCTTTCTTCTTTATTCTTTCTTCTTTCTTCTTCTTTCTTTCTTTATTCTTTCTTTCTTCTTCTTTCTTCTTTATTCTTTCTTTCTTCTTTATTCTTTATTCTTCTTCTTTCTTCTTTATTCTTTCTTCTTTCTTCTTCTTCTTTATTCTTTCTTTCTTCTTCTTCTTTATTCTTTCTTTTTTATTCTTTTTCTTCTTCTTTATTCTTTATTCTTTCTTCTTCTTTCTTCTTTGTTCTTTCTTCTTTCTTCTTTATTCTTTCTTCTTCTTCTTTATTCTTTCTTTCTTCTTCTTTATTCTTTCTTTCTTCTTCTTTATTCTTTCTTTCTTCTTTCTTTCTTCTTCTTTATTCTTTCTTTCTTCTTCTTTATTCTTTCTTCTTCTTTCTTTCTTCCTCTTTATTCTTTCTTCTTTATTCTTTTTTCTTTCTTCTTTCTTCTGCTTCTTTATTCTTTCTTCTTTCTTCTTCTTTATTCTTTATTCTTCTTTATTCTTTATTCTTTATTCTTCTTTATTCTTTATTCTTTATTCTTCTTCCTTCTTTCTTTATTCTTTCTTTCTTCTTTCTTTATTCTTTCTTTCTTCTTTATTCTTTCTTTTTCTTCTTCTTTCTTATTCTTTATTCTTCTTCTTTCTTCTTTATTCTTCTTTATTCTTTCTTTCTTCTTTCTTCTTCTTTATTCTTTCTTTCTTCTTTCTTCTTCTTCTTCTTTATTCTTTCTTTCTTCTTTTTTATTCTTTCTTCTTTATTCTTTCTTCTTTATTTCTTCTTCTTCTTTCTTCTTTCTTCTTTCTTTCTTCTTCTTCTTTATTCTTTCTTTCTTTCTTCTTCTTCTTTATTCTTTCTTTCTTTCTTCTTCTTCTTTATTCTTTATTCTTTATTCTTTCTTCTTTATTCTTTATTCTTTCTTCTTTATTCTTTTTTCTTTATTCTTTCTTTCTTCTTTATCCTTTCTTCTTTATTCTTTATTCTTTATTCTTCTTCTTCTTTATTCTTCTTCTTTATTCTTTCTTCCTCTTTCTTCTTTCTTCTTCTTTCTTCTTCTTTCTTCTTCTTTCTTCTTTATTCTTCTTTCTTCTTCTTTCTTTATTCTTTCTTCTTTATTCTTCTTTATTCTTCTTCTTCTTTCTTCTTCTTCTTCTTCTTTATTCTTTCTTCTTCTTCTTTATTCTTTCTTCTTTCTTTCTTCTTCTTTATTCTTTCTTCTTCTTCTTTATTCTTTCTTCTTTCTTTCTTCTTTATTCTTTCTTTCTTCTTCTTCTTTATTCTTTCTTCTTCTTCTTTATTCTTTCTTTCTTCTTCTTCTTTATTCTTCTTCTTCTTTCTTTTCTTTCTTTTCTTTATTCTTCTTCTTCTTCTTTCCTTTCTTTATTCTTTCTTTCCTTTCCTTCTTTCTTCCTTCTTTGTTTCTACTACTACTACGACGACGACGTTTCTGTCATGTATCCTCCTGGCCTTCCTTCGGTGTCTCTTGTGTTCTGAAATTTAATCGAATTGCAGAACGCAATACACACCCAAATAAGGCCGGAGAGTACATGATCGAAACATTGCCAAAAAAAAAAAAACTGCTAGAGAAATTAATCTGCAACAATCCCATACAATGATGAAAATACCTCATCTGACAAATTTTATTCAAGTAGTTTTAGAAACGAATACTTGACGTTAGGCGTCCTGGGCATGACGATAAACTACATCCGACAGCAAGGTCTCTGATCGGGAGGTATTGAGGAGCGTGGTGCCACGTCTTAATTGCTGTTCCCAGGTTCATCCTGACCTGGGGTGGTAGAACCTGTTAGGGGTCCCAATCTGAGGTCAAAACACTATGAAAGTATAAAAATAGATTTTTATAATAAAAATACTAACATTGCATTTTGGAAAAAAAAATATTACCAGCAATATATTTGACTCTCGACAAAAACCCTTTTACAAAAATACGTCAGTAAAACCTTATCTAGAAACTGATTTCTTATAAACAATACCATATTCTATTCATATGAACCTATCCTAAAAATTCTGTCGGCATTAAATAACACATTTAGGCTGATATACCGTAAAAACAAAATAAACCAAATAAAACTAGACGTTGGGTTTTAAGCTTGAAAATTTATCCGTCTGTGTGTATGCATGCGCGCACACGGACTGGCTGACTGACTCTCCCATCGCCTCTGCAGTAGTTCAGTTCTTAGGCTTGTGTAGAACGAACCACACTTTGTGGAAGAACCGAATACAGGCATTTGGTGCACATAGTGTTACACAAGGTCTCCCAAACCATCTTTAGGTTTTGAATTCAGTTTTTTCTTCTCCTATGCTGGTTGCCAACCAAGTCCAGTTTGGCCTGCTTGGGGTAGACGAAGAAATGATTCATACCCTTTTACAAGGGTTAAAGGCGAATAAATGAATGTAATGAACTTTGCTGGAAATCGAAACCTGTTGTCAGATATCAAATTTCAAGGCACTATCTATTGCACCCCACACATACACAAAGATACTCTAAAAATAAACGTAGATGATGAAAAAATGCCCCAAACTTAATAAAAACAAAATTTTATCGTCAAAGACTCAAAATGTTTATTATTAAGAGGAAAGATTAAAGGTCTTATTATATTTTTTTTTGTCTTTTTAGAATCTTCGAAATTTTGGTTAACTTAAAGATCTTGTTTTTCTTGCGTCGGTAGATGACCAAAAAAGAGTATGGGCAATTTTAGCGTATTTTTGCGGTGCAAAAAACGTACTGGTTTGGAAATACTTGCAAAAATCAAATTGTCGGATTTTAATAATGAAACTTTCAGGACTTATTCACAAATAAATGACATAATTTTTTTAAATGTTTCTTTTTTAGGAAATCTTTGTAAATGTGTTTTTTTTTCACATCCGTTAGTACCCACTTACTTAATTTTTATAAAATTTCGAGAAATTCTTTTTTGTATCGCTTAATGTTTATATTAGTTACAAGGACAAGTCCTTCTAGAATTTATATCCTGAAAGATTTTGCCAAGCAGGACACCCAGTTACAGAAAATCTACTCTGATTCATAAAATAAAAAAATGCAACAATACTAAGACAATATTTAATTTGAAAAGCTTTTAATTGATTTTATATTATGGACACTATTGTTTTAAAAAGAAAAATTTTCGATGAACGACATTTTACAAGAATTGTTTCTATTTTTTATTTTAAATAATTTATAAACAGTTAAATCTTAAAAATAAAATTCTGTAGCGGTCAAGGGATATTCGTATTAAATTAAGACGGTATTAATGGAAAAGCTCACTACAATTTATCGACCCCAATATTTTAAAAAGAATTTTGAATTTATGAATAAACGCATCGATTTTTGTATGTATGGATGTCCAAACGCGACATTATCAGAAAATAAGAGCTGTAACAGTGTAACTATAGTAAAGTTAAAATGTATTGGTACTTTTCTAACGTTTCCTCAACGAAGCATCTTCGTAATTTTGACTATAAAGCCAAAGTACCTAAAATTCAATAAAATAGATTGCCTACAATATTTTCTTAAATTTTTAAGATATAATAAAAAGGCGTTCACGTTATATTAAGTAATTGTTAATTATGTCACCTTTTAGAAAACATTTCCAAACATCTAACGAGAAATTTGTCAACATTTCATAAAAAACACCAACCGGATTGTTAAATGTTTTTCTACGATATTTTAAACTAAAAGTAATACATTTATTTCAAATCTGCTAATCTTCCTCAGCTAAAGTTTTAGAAACGTATATTTTATTTTTGAAATATTTTTAATAAAGGGAATTACGTTGTGTTGAGAGATTTGTCAAGATGAACGACTTTAGCGTTTTTACTAAATTTAAAAGAAAAAAGAGAAAAAAAAAACTCCTTCCAATCAGTTTAAATCCAGGAATCCCTCGATTAGTGCGGCTAATTTGTACATCGGTAACTATAAAAAAAAATAAATTTTCAATTACTCTGGTTAACCTGAAGAATGCTTTACCGCACTAATCGAGTATTATGTATGGACTAATCGAATTTTGGTATAAAAAAAAAAAATTAGGGCAGTTTTCAAAATCGCATTAATCGAGGGATGCCTGCATTTATGAACGAGTTTGGACCATGCATAGCATTTATGTGAAAGCTTCGATCTGACGAAGCTGTTTAAGTAATGTTTTTCTACGATATTTTAAACCAGAATTAATACATTTGTTTCAAATCCGCTAATCTTCATCAACTAAAGTTTCAGAAAAGTATATTTTATTTTTGAAATATTTTAAAAAGGGAATTACGTTGTCTTGACAGATTTGTCAAGATGAACGATTTTAGAGTTTTTACTGATTTTTAAAAGAAAAAGAAAAAAAACTCCTTCCAATACTTTTAAATCCAGTTTAAAATACAGGAATCCCTCGATTAGTGCGGCTAATTTGTACATCGGTAACTATAATTTTTTTTTTTTTTTTTTTTTTTTTCAATTACTATGGTTGACCTGAAGAATGCTTTACCGCACTAATCGAGTATTATGTATGCACTAATCGAATTTTGGTATATAAAAATTTTAGCGCACTAATCGAAAACGCATTAATCGAGGGATTACTGTACAGTAAAGTATTTTGCTTATTGGAAATATTAAACTTAATCTATTAGTTTGAAATAAAAATAAAAGCTTCAAGAAAGATTTTTTAATTTTTTAGATATGTTTTTTGGGGAGGTACATCTGGATCTAAACAAGTTTTGTCAAATTTCAGCCAACAAGCTTATTTTTTTTTATTTTTTTGATCCACTGTTCCTCCAAATCATATTATGGATAAACAAGCCAAAGTTTTTTACTCTAGTATGGATAAACAAGCCAAAGTTTTTTACTCTAGTATGGATAAACAAGCCAAAGTTTTTTACTCTAGTACTTTCGGCCGTCAACGTCATTAGTAACAACTGAATATTGTCAGTATGATGGATGATTCTAATGGTTACATTCCGAAATTTTTTTTTCTTCTTTTTTTAACGCGAGACTTTACGCATGTTGTATAAGTGACGTCATGTGTAAAGCGAATCTAAAACGCAAAGGTATCAAATGCTTAGATGTATTATTAGAATTTAGTTCGTACATTAAATATTTTCTTCACAGTTTAAAATACCGTCTCCTGTGGCAAAATACATATTTGGCCAGAAAATCCTGACTCGCTTAAGGAACGAAAAGAAAACAACAAATCTTGATTTTTGTCTAGTAGAATTTCCAAGGAGTACTGCATTTCGAGCTTGTTCCACACGGTCGCGCCATCAACGCTAATTGCCAACAGTTAGACCAGTCAGTCAGTTATGTGCCATGCGCGATACACGCTTAGGCGATCATGTGTCTTTCGATACATGACTGACGAGGCAGATTTTTTTCCCGCAGTAGGTTGCCATTTTTTCTGGGGTAGACCATTTGCCGTCCAAGGCTACAGAACCCAGTCTGTCCTGCTATTTACCCATATCTGGGGGGAGTGAAGAAGAGGATTTATACATTTCCCAAGGGTATTAGCACGTAAATGAATGTATTGGATCGGACTAGAATTCGAACTCGGCTTTCCGATTCCTCAATCCGACGCGTGTACGATAAATTAAAAGAATATCCTGCTGTGGTCAATCTAGGTCGGGCTTTGTTTCATCAAGGCAATGCGGGGCTATACACAGGTTGACTCAGAAGTTCAAACAAATGGACGGTGTTGAGATTCTTCCACATCCACCATCCAGCCCCGATGCTGCTCTGAGTGACTATGGCTTATTCCGCTCAATGACACGCTTCCTCCGCGACCAGCGATTCAAGTCTTTTGATGAAGTAAAGGATAGTGACAGGGTGGAAATAGACTAAACTGATCCAGAACGATGTCAAGATAGGAACGATTTCTTTAGCAACTGCAGGCGTATAACCTGCTTACTAAGAAGGCAGAAAATCCCAACAGCACAAATAATCGATCTATTGCTCGTTTAAAAACTTCTGACTACTTTCCAAGTCATTAAGGATGTCGAAAGGGAACCAGAAATGATAAGTGACCGAATATATAACATTAAAAGTAAACTGAAAGATGTTAAAAACGAAAATTGAGAATCTCATCACTAAAAATCTGGACAACAAAAAGGGTAGTATGCAATGGGCATATTGATCATACTAGAATTCATTGTCTTTCAGGGAAGTCAGGTGCAGGGATAACCTCCCAGCCTGAGGTAAAGATCCGCGATTCACCCAATGTCAGTGGCGAACTCGACATGTAAATACGAGATGGGCCCAGTGTACAGTTTAAAAAAATACCATGTTGCAGGCAGATATATAAACATCCATCCCAGGGAAGTAATTTCTCTCATAGATATAATTCAGTAGTCGACATGGATAACAAAACCAAACTAAATCTCTCATTCGTAGCATTTACCTTGTATTCAATTTCTGAATTAATTACCGTCATTCTTCATCAGGTAATACCTTGTATTCAACTAACACACACGTGTGTACGTACGTGTGTGTGTGTGTGTATAGGACCCTAT